GCTCGTTCGTTGATTTGCAATTAGTTCTTGTTTCTTCTCAGATTCTCTTCTTGCTATTCCCATCAGAAGTAACCATCAATAGGATCTTCGGGTTCACCACTATTTTGGTGATTGCCAAAATTTTCATCTTTATTGATGAGGTTGATGAGTCAGAGAAGAAAGATGCAGTTTGGAGTGATTTGATAACGAATTGGAGGTGTAAGGGAGCTTATCATCAATTTTTTTTAAACTCCCTAGGTTCATGATTTCTCGTTCATCAGCGGAGTTTTCTTTAGCTTCCCAAACTATGTTCTTTTGAAGCAAATTCTTTTTCTTTTTTTTTCTGTTTTTTTTTTTGCTTCAATTTCCTTTTTTGCGTGCCTCCTTTTCGAAATTTCAAATAATCTCATATTTGGGTTGAGGAATGAAATCTTTCTAAATTGGAAGAAGTCTGAGAAGATGTAGACTTTGCCTTCTATTGAAAGGATGACGAGAGTCCAAAGTCTAGTAGGCTTCCTTAGTATAAGGGCACACGATTCTTGTACTTTAGAATGTTCTCCTTTCTCAAAAATCTTTACATACTATGTGCCTTCCATTTTCTAATAAATGTATATGTTAAACTAAAAGATGCATGATATTTGTTTTCTGCCTAAATTTTATCATTTTTTTTACTAAAGGGGAATGAATGCATGATTTTTGCTATATATTTATTTGTTTTTTTTTGTTTTGTATTTTTTTGAAATAAAATATCCTATATGATGCTTTGAGATTTGGGTATATAAAAGGGAGTTAAAATTTTTTACCATATTTTTTTATTAATATCTATTTGTTTGTAATTCTTATCCATTTGAACTTAAACAAACAAACAAATGCAACACACATATGCTCAAATAAATGTACACCCGCGAACAGTCACGTTTAAATCTTTGGTCTGTGGTCCATACAAGAAAAGTGCATTGTATAGGACAATTCTAATCTCACTGGTCTTAAGGCCCCCAAGGTGCCCCCATTGTAGGGACCCAGTATCTTTGTTGCCGTCACCTGGCAAACTCTAAGGTCTGTCGCAGTATTTCGGGCTAGAGTAACCGGTTATCACCTTGAGTGTGATTTCTGACAAGGCTCGCAGGCTCCAAGGCCAAACTTGGGCCGGTCGTACGTCAACCACTCCCTATGTTTATTACCCTCATGCCCCCAGGTGTAGGGGGAACTGTTGTGTGCAAAGGATTGTGTACAATTTTATTCAAACAGGTGCAGAATTTAAACAAACAAAAAGATATGAAAGCCAAACAAATAAAAGAAATAAAGTAAAGGCGAAAAAATATTTAAACTATTATTCGTATTTTACTAACTTCATCATTTATTGGGCCTGACCTTCTTAAAACGTCCCTAGTGGAGTCGCCATCTCTCACAACCCAAAAATTTTCGATCTCGCGACTACTGGTTTAGACATCCTTTTGGAACTCTCATCAATTAAGGAATGCCCGGATACTAATTAATTAATGGTTTTGAAACTAGGTTCATGGAGTCGCCACCAATATTTTACTCAATACATTGGAAAAAGAAAAGGTTTTTAAAGATCCAACAATGGCATTGATAACCAGAATTGGGTTCGGGAGTCGGTAACATGTAGGGAAGGTATTAAGCACCCCTACAGCGCCCTCAATCGGTACCCTATGATGAACTTAACATGATAAGAATTAATAAATTAAATATTGAATCCCCTTTTATTAATAACTATTTACATTCTTGAAATTTAAATTATACAATTGACCCTAAAATGTCTTCATGATTGCTTTTATTATAAACAATATTTATCAAAGATAAGAAATAAAAGAGAGAGAAGAGATTAACTGAAATACCTCTTGAATGAGCTCTGTTGAATCTTCAAATATGGAGATTTAGGTGTTTTGTGGCAACCTTTCACACTACAATAAGCCTCACAAAACTCAAGAAATACAATAAAACAGAGAGAGAGAGAGAGAGAGAGAGAGAAATTTTGAGCTCTAAAGAGTTTTGGACGAAATTTTGGAGCCTTAAGAATTGTGCCCAAGCTGTCTATTTATAGGCATCAGAAAAGGGTCTAGAACGGCCCGTTCTAGAATCGGAACGACCCGTTCTGGATCTGGCCGTTATGTGTTAATTTCATAACTAGAACGGCCCGTTCTAGAGATAAGATTAACACACAATTTGGTAGACTGGAACGGGCATTCCAAACAAGAGATTTTAGGCCATTTTAATATCTTGGAACGGCCCGTTCCAGTTTAGGAACGACCCGTTCCGGTTAAGGTTTTTTAACCCTTTTTTAGGAGCTTGGAACGGCCCGTTCCAATTTTGGAACGACCCTTTCTGGCTTAGGAACGGCCTGTTCCAGCCTATTATTTTTAGGCTTTTGCCTGGTTTGGAACGACCCGTTCTGGTTTTGGAACGGCTCGTTCCATACTAGATTTTTAGGCCTTTTTTTTGCTTGGAACGACTTGTTCTGATTTTGGAACAGCCCGTTTCGAGCCACTAAAACCAATGTATTTGGGCTTTAGGCCTTCTGATGTCTTGTCCTGTTGTTTGCATGCTTGGGAGCTCCAATTCTTTTCATAATAGAGGTCCATTTCCTTGTTTGTATGTCCTAGACGAAATTGGGTGTCTATAGTTCTCAATCCAACCAGATTGAGTTCCACTATCTTTAAATAAAGATACAAGTATTATTTTAATAGATCACTTCTAATTCAATCCTAAGTATTCTTTGACTTGCCTCTTCAAGAAACTATCTAAGTATTCTTTTAACAATAAGTCTTATTAGGCTTAACCACCAAGTATTTTTTTCAACCATGCTTCTTTAGGTTCAACCAAGTATTATTTTACAAATAAGTTTCTCTAAGCTCAACCTTATAACAATGGTTATAAAGGTTACAAAGATGTTGAGTTCGTCTCAATTAGACATTATACAACCAGTATAGATCAATAAGCTTTTACAAGAAAGAATAAGTATGATTTACAAGGAGTGGTTATTTGTATATCTTTTTGCACAAGTCATTTTTGTATATTGTGCATCTCTTGTATTCTTTGTTAAACTTTTAATCTTCTTATATAGTAGCTTAGAGAATATGATCGTTACAACACTTTAAGTTCAACTCATAAGTTTGTTTCGTTTGTCTTCATCATTTTTGCTTGTGATGACAAGTAACTGTTTGACTCATTTAATGTGAGTATTAAATGTATTCGCTAAATGGTACCTTTTATCTGACCAAGGAGGTTACTTATCAACTTTCCATGCCAAATAGATCTTGCAAAAGCAATGTCAACCCTGTTCAGTCACAGTAGTGACTTTATCTACTTTTCTTTATGATTTTAGGGATCTTTCTCCTTGGTTTTAACAAAAAAGCATAATGTTGTTCTCTTTAAAAAATTTATGAATTTCAAGATGATTTTCTAGTTTGATCTGTTAAGGAATGAAACATTCAAAACAAACTTTGTCGTTAGTCTCAATAAATAACGAACATTTAATGAACATGAGACAAATTATATGTTTCATCTTATTCACATCATCTTATAGATGATATATATCTTACACTTCGTTTGATGAGTATTTTCAAAGATATTTTTGCAAATATTTTTTTCATATAAAAATATTTCATTTGTTATATTAAAACTATGAAGCTTGAGGAATCCAAGATTGTCTTTTGACTTAATACACACAAATCCAAAATTTTCATGTTAAACTTGAGTAAAGATGTAAAAGTTATGTGCAATAGCTTTAGTGAGACACAAACCTTTAAGTCATAATGCATTAAGCACACGATAAAACAATCATCAATGCGTGTAGACATGCATATACATATGTAGATACACAACATATTTTCATAAAAGGTGTCAATAATTTTAGGATCTTTGGCTCTTTATAGAATTTTGATGTATTTTCACAAGTTTTGATCCATTGGGCCAACGATTGCATTGCCACATGTCAACTCATCTAGACCATGGCATGCAATGTTCTTTAACCATAACATTTCTTGTCCCCTTGATTAAATGACTACATATTGATTAAAATTTAAAGGTTTAAAATTATACACATAATCTAAATTAATAACACATTTGAACAAAGTTATAGATCCAGGAAAATCCAAAATTTTCATGTTAAGCATGAGTAAAGATGCAAAAATAACGTGCAATACCTTTGCGATGATGCAACCCTTTGGGTCATAATAACATAATGAAACACGATATGTAAAATAATCATTAATGCATGTAGACATACATATACGTGTGTAGATAGACAAAATTAGTTTCATAAAAGGTGTTGATATTTTTAAGATCTTTGGCTCCTAATGGGATTTTGATGTATTTTCACAAGTTTTGATCCATGGGACTGACATTGCATTGTCACATGTCAACTCATCTAGACCATGGCATGCAATGTTCTTTAACCATAGCATTTTTTGCCCCCTTGATTAAATGACTAAATATTGATAAGAATTTAAAAGTTTAAAATTATACATAATCTAAGTTAATAACACATTTGAACATAGGTTATAGATCCAGACAAATCCAAAATTTTCACGTTAAACGTGAGTAAAGATGCTAACATAACGTCCAATACCTTTACGATGATGCAACCCTTTAGGTCATAACACAACGAAACACGCAATAAAATAATCATTAATGCGTGTAAACATACATATCCGTATGTAGATAGACAAATATTTTCATAAAAGGTGTTGATATTTTTAAGATCTTTGACTGGAATTTTGTTGTATTTTCACAAGTTTTGATCCTTTAGATCGACATTACGTTGCCACATGTCAACTCATCTAGACCATGGCATGCAATGTTCTTTAACCATAGCATTTCTTGTTCCCTTGATTTGATCCAGATTTTGTGCTCATGAGAACAACCCTATGCGATTATAGATTATGGATGTACATATGATATGTCACAAAGCCCGCACTATGAGCCGTGTGCACCTTTTGTGGCCACCACACACATATATTCAAGTGCTTGGTCCTCTACATTGGAGATCTCACCCAAAAACAAAATAAGAGAGAAGCTAAGACACACTCTATACCTTCCCTCAACTTTCCTTCTACTAATTGCTAGGTGTGTAATAGTTGTGGGAAAATGTGGAAAACGAGAATGGCACAAGTGATGATTTTTATCTCTATGGTTTTCCTTCACCTTGTTGTGTCACCCATTTCTGCCTCACCCCTTGCACCCGCAATGTATGTGTTTGGAGACTCCTTGATGGATAATGGGAATAACAATTATCTACCCACTATTGCCAAAGCCAATTTCTTGCCTTATGGTAATGATTTCCCCCAAGGTGCCACCGGAAGGTTCACCAATGGAAAACATGTTGCTGATTTTGTAGGTATACTTTTTAATTTGTCTCTCTTTGTCTCTCTCTCTCTCTGTCACACACACACACACTCACTGTTAATTTTCTTTGTAAATATTATCTTACACACACACACACTCATTGTTAATTTTCTTTGTAAATATTATCTTACCGCACACACACTCATTGTTAATTTTCTTTGTAAATATTATCTTACACACACACACACACTCATTGTTAATTTTCTTTGTAAATATTATCTTACCGTTTGTCTAAAGTTTCAAAATATGGTATCCGTTTTGAGTATGTTATATTCACACTCATTGTTAATTTTCTTTGTAAATATTATCTTACACACACACACTCATTGTTAATTTTCTTTGTAAATATTATCTTACCGTTTGTCTAAAGTTTCAAAATATGGTATCCGTTTTGAGTATGTTATATTCACACTCATTGTTAATTTTCTTTGTAAATATTATCTTACACACACACACTCATTGTTAATTTTCTTTGTAAATATTATCTTACCGTTTGTCTAAAGTTTCAAAATATGGTATCCGTTTTGAGTATGTTATATTGAGACTATCTTAACTTCTGCGTGAAGTTATAAAATATGGTACAAAACTACAATTGTTACAACAATTTCAAGGTGTTTCTAGTCATTTACATTGTGACTATCTTATCTTTGGTCTAAAATTTTTAAAATTGGTACGCAATCACAATTGTAACGACAACATCAAGATTTTGAGTGACTATGTTATCTTTTGCCTAAAGTTCTGGGAAAAAAAAAAAAAGAACACTTGTAGTAACAACATTGAGATTTTTTGAGTATGTTATATTGTGTTGCAATTTCGGGTGCATCAACTTTATTTGTATATGGAAATTTTCACAATACCAAAGATCCTCACGAAATTGCAGTTATGACCATAATTTAAAATCTTAATTTTGTCTTTATCCAATTTCTTTTTGACATTTTGTGATGATCTCTTTATAAATAAATTAAAACAAGTTATATTATTCTTTCAATGAACAGCTGCTTATCTTGGATTGCCATATCCTCCCCCTTACTTGAGTTTGAAAGGTCAAAAGTCGTTAACTGGAGTCAGTTACGCATCTGGTTCATGTGGAATTCTACCAGAGTCTGGAGCCATGCTTGTAAGTATATATATTATGCACATATATGGTTTTGAATATGATTTTATTTCTTTATTCTTTTTATATATAGGTCTTTCTTCCTTGCTCTATGTTTATATGGTTTGGAAGATTTTAATATTTTACATGCCTTGTAATGCTTTTTTTTTTTGGCTGAATATGTGTCTTGTAATGTTAATCCTACTAGTATTTACCCATTTTTTCTACCTTAAAGAAGGAGAGGGTCTAATGATATTTAATTAAGTGTATGCCCTTAATTTTTTTAGGGTAACGTTATGCATTCTTTTTGGGTAGAAAATAATTTTCAAGAAACTCTCGAAAGATAGAAAGCTTTTTGATGAAAAAGGAAAAGGGAATTCTCTAAAAAAGTTAATTAGAGAGACTTCTGTACTAAGAGTCTAGCTCGGTTACTTCAGAAAGACATGTAAGTTATTGTAAATCTCTTGTATTGAGTTGAATTATGATGAATAAAAAATATTATAGAGACTTCTTTTTCATTATTTTGAAAACACGTTAGCTTTTTTTCCTCTTCCAATTTCTTCCTAGTGTACAAAACATCTAAATTGAACAATGAACACAATATAGGGATCTTTACAATAGTAACTTAGGTTTACAACCATTATGGTTATGTTTGTTTACATGTAGTCATGTTGTTATAACAGTTAACTAATCTTCCAATAGACACTTACAAGTTTGGCAAATTATTTTTCTCCATTTTGTTAATGTGAATTACAAGCAAACTCCTGTTGAATAAAAAATAAGAGAGTTTTGTTGTGTCTCAGTCTTCTTTTCTCTGTTAGTTATTTAATGATTCATGAATATGTATTTAATAAGTAAAAATTACTAGTATTATTTTTCTAAGTTTATTACAACGATTAAACTCCGACGAGAGGAAACATGGTGAGTATCAAAATTTTGACTTAATGCTTAATTTCATATGTATGATGTGTTACGCAATTTCGATTCTTCAAACAAAGAGATTTTAGATAAAAATACATTATTATGTACTTTCAAACTTTGGCAAATATACTTTATCTAACGATTTATTGATATGGTTAGTTTTAGATATGAATTCAATAATCTTTTAATACATTTTTTCTATTTATCAAAATAAATTAAAGAATATAAAATCAGATTCATTCAATAAAAAGTGAAACTTAAACAATTTTATAATTGCTAATAAATTTAGGTTAAAGTAAAGAGCATATAAAAATTCTAAAAACAGTGTATTGCTTGCATTTTTCTATAATTGATTTACTTAACAAAACTACTATTTTATTTTTTTTTCAGGGAAAATGTCTAGATTTGAAGGAACAGGTTAACTTATTTCAGACGACAATTAAGACAGATTTGGCCACAGAGATCAAAAACCCAAATCAATTATCAGATCATTTATCAAAATCTATATACATATTCTCTATTGGGAGCAATGATTACATAAACAACTACCTTGACACAGAGAATAGTAATTCAAGCAAGCGTTACCAGCCTAAGTCCTTTGCTGAACTCCTCATTGAAAATCTCTCCCTACATCTTGAGGTACACCCACTACTAGAAAAGTGTCATTTTCTTGCAAATTTTTCTGCAAAAAAATATTTGCAAATTTTCTTGCAAAAAAATATTAGCAGAAATTTTTTGCGAGTTTATTTGCGAAAAATAATTTACAGATATTTCTTACAAATTTTGCTATAATTTTAATAATCATAGAAATTTTTTTCCATGGTAAAAATTTGCAGAAAATATTGTAAGAATTTTATTTTGTTTCTTGTAGATTTTCTTGCAAAAAATAAATTTACAAGTAATGTTTACTAAATAGTAGAAAAAATTTGCAGGTAACTTTTCCTGCAGATTTTCCTGCAAATTTTAATCCGCAGGAAAAAAATATATATTTAAATTTTATAAGTTTAATATTTTAAAAAAACTTCAAGTCCCACATCGATTGAAAATAAAACAATTAAAGAGTATATAAGTTGGGGCAACACTTACCTTACAAGTTGATTTATATGGTTGAGTGTTACGCTTATAATCTACAATCTTAGAATTTGAAAGATTATGTATCACATGTTAGAGGCATGGAAACAAATGTTTCGGATGATTTCATTGTGAGCATTTGAAAGTTGAAAAATTATTGATAGAATTTATAGTAATTTCTTTAATTTTTTTCGTAAAAAATATTCCTGCAACTTTCCTACAAATTTTCTTGCGAATTTTTTTTTTTGTAGGAAAATTTCCTGCAAAATTTTTTTTGAAAGAAAGTTTCCTACGAATTTTTTTTGCAATAAATTTCGCAAGAAAATTTTCTGCGAATTTTAAAATTCGCAAAAAAGTATTATCCACGAAGGTTTTACGATAAAATTTCGCAGAAAAATTTGCAGGAACAATGTTTCCTGCGAATTTTTATGAAAAATTCACAGAAAAAGTCACATGTAATAAGAGAAATTCTAGTAGTGACCAATCATCTCCTAAATTAATTTTAGGCTACATTACTAATTTTGGTCCATTTTTATTTAATTAATTTCATTTCATCTCTTTATTATTAAGAAAATTTAATTTATTCTCTCAATTTTTTAAAGTCACACAATGTTGTCCTTTCTATTCTATTTAAACTAAAGACTTGTTTATGTAAACTTCTCTGAAAATATTTTTAAAATCAAAAAATAAGAAAGAAATAAGTTTTTTCGTAAACTAAAATTAGATTATGTATAAATTAATTTGTAGAAGCTTTTTGTTATTAGTTTCTCCAAATATTATATTAGTTTTAATTTATGCAGAGATTTTTTCCCCTATTTTTTTCTTTTAAAGATATTTCAAAAGAAGTTTATCCAAAAAAAGTTCTAATGATATTAACTTCTTCTATACGTAGCACAATATTAAAAAAAACATTTGTCATCAGATGTAGGAGAAGTTAACACAGTTAGTCTACATTGAATGAAAATGATAATATTGTATTAGGAGACTGAATCAAACCTTTTAATATAATAAAGAGACTAAACTGAATTAATTTAATAAAATTTGTGATGAAAAATAGTAATTTAACCTTCATTTTATTGGGAACACTTGCAAGGAGAATCAATTGATGAAATTGTTAAATGTGACAGAGTGTGTATAAGTTGGGAGCCAGGAAGATAATAATGTTTGAAATTGGACCTGTGGGGTGCATCCCATCAGTCTCAAGGGCACGGGTGCACAAAGGTAATTGCATGGAGGAAGTAAACCAAATGGTGACATTCTTCAATGAGAGGCTTCCTCCATTGCTGAAGAATTTGACATCAAGACTTCCAGGCTCTAACTTTGTTCTTGGTCGGGACAATTCCCTAGGCTATGATGTAATCAACAATCCATCCAAATATGGTAAAGATCCCAAACACTGTAAATCGAGGAAACACTCACTTTACTTTATTTAAGGACTAAAATGATAATATAACAGCATCTTTTAAATTTAGAGACTAAAATGAGTGTTTATATGTGAATTTAAATTTGTTTTCTCTTAAAAAAATGTTTTCATTCTCTCTAAATCATGTTCATATGTATATGTTGTGTAGGTCTAAAGGAGGCAAGACATCCATGTTGTTCCACTTGGGCAAATGAGACTTCAGGATGTATTCCATTGTCAAAACCATGTCCAGACCCAACCAAGTATGTCTTTTGGGATGCTTTTCATATTACAGAAGCTGTAAATTCAATCATGGCATCTGGGTGTCTCAAAAATAGTTCTATATGCACACCTACTAGCATTCAAGAGCTTGTCAAAATGTAATCTTGTGTTCAGAAATTTTAACAGAATATGTTTGTTATGAATTTAATATATTTTTTAAAATATTTTGTTTAGCATAGCATCTGGGTGTCTCAAAAATAGATATGTATGCACACCCGGCCCTTTAGCATTCAAGAGCTTGTCAATATGTAATATTTGTGTTCAGAAATTTTAAGTGAATAATATGTTTGATATGAATTTAATATATATATTTTTTATAAATATTTTGTTTAGCATAGCATCTGGGTGTCTCAAAAATATAGATATAAGTATGCACACCCATTAGCATTCAAGAGCCTATGTAATATTGTGTTCAGAAATTTTAAGAGAATAATACATTTTTTATGAATTTAATTTTTTTGCGTGAAATATTTTGATTAGATACAAAACTTACAATTTTTTTTTAAATACTAGTAATTTGGAAAAATATTTTGATTACCTCTTTAAATTAAATTTTTTTATAGTTATCTCATCAAATTTATCTTCTAAAAACTTGTAATTTTAAATAGTAAAGATTTTTCTCATTTTTTATCCTTGAAATATCAAATGTCACCTCTTAGATACTTTATCCCCAATTTAAAACTCCAACATTTAAGTGTATTTTTGCACTAGTGTTAATTATAAATATTGTACCATTATAAAATGTATTATTACAAAACAATTTTTTGTAGTATATTTTACACTAACAAGTCAATAAACTTAATTTTAAATAAGTTAACAAATCTCTTTTTTAAATATGCATTCAAGTCTTTTTCTAATTTGCAGGATAAAAAAATAGATTACTTTATTATTATTAAATTTTAAAATTTAAAATTAAAAAAAAATTAATGTAAGAGGGATGGAGATACGATTAAATATAAGCTACTCTATTAGGTTTAATAAATTTTTTTATAAGTCTAAATCTAAATTTTTTTAAATAAATAAAATTTTTGAAAGTTTAAATGAGATTTTTGTTAAATATAGATCATGTCAAATCAAATTTTAAACACATCAATTCATAGTTCATATTTAAGATCTGACTTATTCTTATTTTTAATGTTAACTCATTATTAATATGGATCATTAAAAGTGTGTTGTATTAAAAGTGTGTTGTGACTGCATATATCGATCAAAATTCATATTTCCCATTAACAATTTCTACCATGCTTATGAACTTATTAAGTTTTCATTCCAATCAATAACAACAGTACTAGGGTATAATATATTGAGTCAAGACCCGCTCAAGCAACAATAACTCCACAAAGAGAAAGGTTGAGACATATGAGTAAACTGTGTAAAGAAAATTTGTTTTGCCAGAAAGGGTATGAGAAAGAGACAACTGCATGAGTAGATAAAAAGATGGGAATTAACTGAAAACAAAATGGCAAAACCTATTTAACCTATTCAAAACTGATTTATGTTGACAAAGGATGAATGAAATTGTGCTGGTGATTGCAATTTTGGCCCCTTTAAATTTCAAGAGAACAAATAATTAGTCTAATAATTCTATAAAGTTATACATAGACAAAAAAAACACATAAATATCGACAAAATTCTTCGTTTTTTCCCCCTAGTTTGGAGTTCATTAATCAATTTAACCATAAAAATAAAAACTTCAACTTTCTTTTATACATTCCAACAAATGAGGGGGAAAAATGAAAAAGCAAAGGACCAGGAAGCTCACCTCATGAAGCAAATACAAAAACCAATTTCGTAATTACGAGCAGAACAATTTAGAGGACCAAACTTCTCAACTTATCATTTGCAAAGTAACATAGCACAAAACTGAAATATCAATAGAAAGATAAAGTAATGAAAATTTCGAATTAGCATATATATTTTGTTTTGGTGACTTGTTTGTATATACACATTCAAATTATTTTTCAAAAAATTCTCATGCAGCCACGCATAAAGATTGAGATTTAAAGAAATTATTTTACTACCTCGCTTTGCAACACCAAAACCCAATGCATAGCACTTATTAGAATCAAAATTGATTTGCAAGCTAATCTCCCTTTCTAGTTGCATATTTTAAAAGAGTGCAAGTAACAAAAAATTCTAACCTAAGAAGTCAACATAAGGAATAACATTGCCTCCAAGTATAAATAAGATCAAGCTTGCTAAAATATTGCTAATAGTCTAATACATCTTGTTTATTTTCTCTTCATCAATCAATAAGAATCTATGTTGTTAGAACCGAACTGGATTGGATAGTTTGGCCAATTCAATTAAAAATTGATAAATTTACTAATTCATAAGAATTATGTAAAAAAATTAGTGAAAAATCAGATGAATTAATTCAAAATCGATAAAAAAATAAGACCCCAATCTAAAAAAACTAGATTGAACAGGTAATTTTTTTAAGAAAATGTTTTTTATTTTCTCAAATTTTAAAAATATTTTTATGATAAATAAATAAATTTATTTAATAAAAATTATAAATTAGAATAAATAATATTACTTTTAAGAATTTTCTTATATATAAAGATATAATTTAGTCATTTATATTAATTTAAATTTTTTTATATCATGATATTTCATATTATATTAATTTAATATTTTCTACTCTAAATATAAAATTATTTATATATATTATTATATTTTGTTAAAATTTAAACTTAACTATTAAGCTTAAATATATTTTTAGTCATTTAAATTTAAGGTGAATTTGTTTTAAGTCTCTCAAACTTAAAACTAGATTTTTTAGTCCTATAATTTTTTTAAAAAAAATTATTTTAATCCTTATAGTCAAATTTTGTTAAACAAATATGTTAAATATTGTGCATAAGATCTAATTATTAGTGTCTATATTATTAAACACATCATATTAAACACAACTAATAGTGCATAACTGTGTTAATCTGTATTAGATATATTATTGATGACATGATAGATTAACATAAAATTTTAAAAATTACAAGAAATAAAAATAATAATTTTAAATTTGAGAGATCAAAAATAAATTTATCATAAATTTAAGGAACTAAAAATATATTTAAGTCTAAATATTATATTTAAATTTTTACATGCACTTTAATATATATATATATATATATAATGATGTTTAATTTTAGTTTTATAAAATTATGATATTATATTTATGTAATATTATTTTATATATTATTTAAATATTATTATTATTTTATTAATATTAATTTGACCATAATTCAACCACAGTTAAATCATTAAATATTGAATTAATATTTTGATTAGTTCAATGACTAGTATGATTTCATAAACATTGATAAAAATCATGGAAGGATAAAAAGATATTCAAAACTATGAATAAGTCATTAATTAAGAAATATGATAAATATTTAAAAAAAAATAAGTCTTTAATTAGAAATCTCACAAATAAAACATATTAAGAAATTACAATATACTCTAAACCACCAAATTGAGAATCATCCACCATTACCCTCCGTATATTGTACATAAGACAAATAGAAAGTTACAACAATTCATTAGTCTTAAGAAGTGAAGAAAGTAAGCACTAACAAATATAGTAATTAGTACATAGGTTTTGACTACCTCAATGTGAAATTTAAAGGTCATGTTTACATTTGTAGTAATTAAAACATCACTTAGAATGAGGATTTTTTGGCCCGCTTTGTCCGTAGTGAATAACATGTAAAGGTCCAGGGTGCATGTGAGTTTTCGTCTTTTTGCCTGGAGAAACTACCAACTGCTCACAGCAGGAAAGTATTAGACTTACTCTATACATCTCCGATTGAATATAATGTGTGTTGTACACGGGGGACATTTATACATGTCTCTATAATAATAAGATATTGTTTGATTTATATTTTAAGTTCTCACAATTTTGTTTTTAGACATTATTTTAAAAACTTTTTATATATGAAAATAATTATATATATATAAATTCATATTCATCATCTTATTTAAATGATTCAAGATTTTACTTGTATCTTAACAATGTGACACTAACTTTTAAGAAAACAAATGAAGTAATCAAAGAGCTTCATATCCAATATGTTCTCGATTGTTTAACTGTAAAGCTAAAGTTAATGAACTTAGTTCTCATAAAAATGTGCATTGAAGGAAATTCATATTACTGCAAAAATAATCAAATAATACAAAATCTAAGCAAAAACACATTTATCGATCTTATTTGACTAATGACACCTTTTTTATGTTGATACTAGCAACAAAATCATCAAAGATACTGAGATTAGGAAAGTATGGTTGTAGCCTTGTTGACTAAAGACATCTTTCTTTTTATATTGATGCTTGCAACAAATTCAATAAGTGAGATTTGTCTCCTCTAAAGTGAAAAGTGTATTTTAGAGAATAAAGTGTAATAATAACCGTTGATTAAAAAATTAATATTGAAGAATTATGATAAAATCATATACATATATAATAAAATTTAGAATTAACTATAATATTCATCATTGATTTTTTAATCAATAGTTATTATCATATTTTATTTTTTAAAGTAAAATCTCCTCATTTTAGAGGAGTTAAATCCCAATAATAGAGATGTATCGTCCAACTTGATCAAGCCAAGTTAACCACATGCTCAGCTGAAACAAGCCAAGTTGGGCACAAGCTCCCTCATACTACGTCCATCAGTTCGTCAATACCACAAAGCAAAATCCTAGATGGATCATCCTCGATGGATCATCCTCGATGGATCACACTATCAAGAACAACATCTTTGCTTATCAACAAGAATATCCCCTAAAATCATGCAACATTATCTCAAAAGCATAGAGATAAGATCAATCACCTATGTATGAGACATCATGTATTACTCTAACCCTAATCTCATTCTTAACTTAAACGTCAGAGTGTCTTCGCAAGTGTCCCCACCACCATGTGTTGGAAGTTTGACACCCTTGGATTTACATTGTCTAGTGATAACTCCCCGAAATCCAAGAGGCTTGACCACTCTAGTTGAAGATATGGTGTGGACAGTACAAACCTATGTAACTCATAAGAAATTATGGTTGTTATATCCACTTCATGCCCATTAAGAACTGCATAAAGAATGTTGGCCCTTGGCATGTTGATATCTAAAATGTGGGTAACAAGCATGACATTGCAATACAAAAATTCTTAGATCTTTCCTCAGTATCTTTAATGGCTTCCTAGTCACTCTTGTGGTATAGGAACACCTAGGTAGGCATAATAGGTTGGCAACTGTATCAACATTAAATTGGTAATTCTTCTTCATCCTTGTATACTGATCCATCCTATCCTCTACCAACTGATAAGGATTCCCCAAATAGACATTAATAGAATTTCTCTCATAATTGAAAGGAACCCATCTCACCCATGTGTTTTTCTACTCTGATTATTCCTTTGGATAGGCAGGGCATTGGCGTAAAATTCTTTGACAATGTCCTTATTGTACTATGGCTTTAGAGTCCCTGAGATCTTCCACTTCCTATTTTTCAATTTAGTTTGGAATTCCTCATACTCCCCTAGTTTCAAATCTATTCTTCGTTTAATAAGGATACTCCTTGACTCCAACTCAAGGTATCTCTGATGGTTGGACTTAGTCATGAATTCATGTTTGTCCTGCTTGAATGGAGCCTCAGGGGTTTCATCAAAATTAGAACCCTATGGTGGAGTGTGGGAAAAGGCCTGACCCTTTCTCTTTTTTCTTAGAGGAATCTCATGCGTGTGGGAACATGATAATCAGTTAAGCATCAAAATCTGGTAAGTTCTAAGCAATGAGTGTAAAACATGAGAATTATGTGGGTCTAGACTAGATCCACTTAGCCCTTTTAAAAGGGATGATCAATTTCATTCTTTCAAAAATTTTGAGCTTTCTTCCTTAAACCTACTCAACCATTTTAAAATGGTTTAGCATTTTTGTTGTAGTGGGAAAAAAAATTTCTTAAAACAAAAACAAATTTCGCTAGAAAACAACATGCATTAGGGTTCATTCATACATATTAGTCATATTAAAAAAAATTCAATGCAAAACCTAATTTGTATAAAAGGAACTCAAAATGTGTAGAAAACTCAAGGAACCCCTATTCACTTCATGTATTCCAAGTAACTAAAAAATGATAATTTCTTAGTGAAAACACTAAAATGTGAGAAGAGACTTGACTATTTCACTTTTTCTCAACAAATAATGTAGAAGGAGAAGAGGAGTTCATACCTTGTTGATCAATTTTAGAATGGAGAAGAAGAGAAGTTGAAAGGAATATGTTACCTCAACGCAATTAAAAGGAAACATGAGAGATAAAGGTTTAGGGGGGTTATGTTTGAGCGGTAATTGCTCTCCATGTGAGGGGGTTATCTTTTACTTTTCAAAAAACTTTTCAATCCACTTAGCCTTTTCAAAATGGCTGAGCGATTTGGCTTTAGAGAGAACCCCAAAATTGACCCCCAAAGCATTGAGTTGCTTTGCAAGGCGCTCAGCCTTTTGGCTCCAAGGAGTACCCAAAATTGACATTCAAAAAGTGTTGAGTCGTTATCTAGGGGTTGAGCACTTAGTGCAGATAATGGAATTTCAACATTTTTCTTATATGAACCACTCAGCCCTTTTGAAATGGTTGAGCACTTTTTAAAAGGCTTGGTCCTTTCACCCTTGGAATGAAAATTATGTAAAAATCAGGTGTAGGGTATAATCCGCTCAATCTTTTTAAATAGTTGAGTAGTTTGCTTCCAAATAACATACCTTCTTAATGTATTTGAAATTTTCTAAGCCATTGGTTGTGCTCTCTTGGTTCATTCTTTCCTCACCTCCTTATCCGGAAACATCCTAATACAACTCAAAACACTAGAAAAGATATTAAATAACACAAAACTAAATAACAAAATCAAAATAGCCAACATACTAATTATCAATAATAAGAAATCAAATTAACTTGAAAACCAAAAATCATGAAAACATAATTAGTTGGGTTACCTTCCAATAAGTGCTTGCTTACTGTCATTAGCTTGATAATTTAGTTGGTCAAGGGTCATTAAGGTGAATTATAGTGGTGAGTCTCTCAACTTCACCCAAGTAAGATTTGATCCTTTGAAAATTCATCATCCAGGTCCTTCCAATGCCTGGTTTTGCCAACTTAACTGCACTATAAGGTTTGACTAACTTAATGATAAATGGGCTTGACCAGATTTCAACTTTCTAGGTAATAATCTCAACCTGAAATTGAACAATAAAACCATTTGACATGGTTGGAAGTTCCTTTTCACAATTTTATTTTCATGATAGACCTTGACATTACTCTTATAGATTTTGGAGAATTCATAAGCATGCATTCTCATTTCTTCCAATTCATGTAATTGAAGTTTCCTTTTCTCACTTATAGCCTTCAAATAAAAATTCAAAGTCTTTAAAGCCCAAAATGTTTTATGTTTTAACTCCACTGGAAGATGACATGCCTTCCCATAGACTAATTGAAATTGAGATAAAGCAATTGGTATCTTGAAAGTAGTCCTATATGCATACAAAGTATTATCAAAATTTAGTGCCCAATCTTTTCTAAAGCTAACTACTATGTTTTCATAATTTTCTTTAATTCTCTGTTGAAAACCTCTACTTTGTCCATTTGTTTGGAGTGATAAGGTGTTGCTACCTTATGTCTCACACTATATGCTCCAACATGTTTTTTTAACTAAGCATTGCAGAAATGGGTGCCACCATCACTTATAAGAATTATAGGTGTTTTGAACCTACAAAAGATATTCTTTTTCACAAACTTGATCACAGTTCTTGCATTAGTTTTCTGAGTTGCACTAGCTCCCACACATTTTGAAACATAGCCCATAACCACAAGTATATACTCATTTGCATAAAAAGGTGGCAAGAGACCAACAAAATCAATCCCCCAGCAATGAAACATTTCAACTTCAATGGTGTTTTATAAGGGAAGTTCATGTCTTTTAGGTATACCTCCCATTCTCTGACACTTGTCACAATTTTTATAATGCTCATAAAAATCCTTAAAAATGGTAGGCCAATAGAATCCAAATTGAAGGATCTTTGTTGTTGTACGCTGTTTATTATTTACTTTTATTCTTAGTTCTTTATTATCTAATATGAAAGATTCTTGTTACATAAAACAAGAAAAATAATGAGCATAAGAAAGTGTGTTAGTTGCATTCAAATAATAGGAACAAATAAGAGGGAAAAATAAAATATTTTTATAAGTTAAAATTATTTTATAAAAAATAATAAATATATTTGATCATAATACATTTTTTAAAGAGTCAATGGAGAGTGAGGGATCAAGGTTTTGCTTGCCCTCTCTTAGATTTGTCCTTGTCTACGAATTAATTTATATATAAATTAATTTTAAGTGTAAGGTTTCTTTCTATTTCTTTCTTTTGATTTTTTGTCCATTTGTATAGTTTGAAGTATATAAAAGACATTAACATAGTGTTTGGTTGAAAAAGAATTGGAGAGGAGAGAGAATTTGTTTTAAATTTGTCTTGTTTGATTTAAATTTTAGAATGTAAAATAGAATAAAATCCTTCCTAAATAACCCAATTTTAGCTTTCCCTCCAATATTGAAGAATTTGGAAAGGAGACGAGACATTTTAAAACATTTGTAGTGTATATCTAAAATGCTTTTAATTATATTTTTAAATTTAAATTCATAATCATACAAGGTAAATTAATTTTTAACATTTCATCATTTGTATACCAAATAAGAAAAAAAAAAGTCACTTCTCTCCTCCATTCAATCAAATAAAATTTCTACCATTCCTCTTCATTAAAATTTTATATTTCTTTTATAAAAAAAATATACTAATAGAGAAGACATGAAAAAAAAATAGAGAGAATTTTAATTTTAGTTTATTATAAATTTATTTCATGTTTTTTCCCGTAAAATTACTTCCAAATAAATTTATCTAAACAACACAAACAATATTGTCAAACAGCTCCATAGGTCATACCGTCCCTAATCCGGATCCGGAAATTTTTAATTAATTTGCAACCTAATATGAGAGGGAAATATAGCATTTTTCTCGAAGACATCGAATTTGACTAGTGTTACTTTAACATATTGTCTAAATAATGAAAAATTGAGTTAATTCAAAATTTGCGCTAGTTATTGCCAGTTTTATTTCTGAACACATGATTGTGAACTAGTTCTTTCATACGTAATTTTGATTCATAATTTTGAATTAGTTCTATTATAGGTAATTTTAATTCATAATTTCCAATTGGTTAAGAAATGTGAGTGTTGAGCCTTTTATATTATCTAACATATAAAAGTTATTTTGTGCTTCCCTGAATTATTTTAAAAGAATAACAAATAAAAAATATATATATATAATAATGAGTGTTTATTAAAAATATAATTGATTATGAAGTAAAATTTATAAAAATAAAAAATAAAAAATATTGTAATCTATAAAAAGTTAATTATAAGGGTAGAAAGAAGAAGAATGTTATAATTCTAGAGCCTCTCTTTCTCGTTTATCTCTTTAAAATTTTTAAAAATAAACTTATGAAACTCAATTCTATAAAAAAATAAATAAATAAATAACTTATATACTCTCCCCTTTGGGATTAAACTAAATTTCTATCTAGAGAAATATTTTAAAACACTTAAAGACTCTTCAAAAGTTTCTTAGCTCCCAGAATCCCTCAACAACACATCTCCAAACACCACAACAACACTTGGTTTGATTGTCACCTCGGGTCGCACAGTTATTACTACCCTTCTCCTGTGAATTGTCAAACATATGCTCTAACATGGATAACAAGAAGAAAGATGAACCCCAAGATCGGAAACCTGATGAACTTGCTGAGTCGCTTGATGACCTATTCAGTAGCATTTCCACCATGATCAAATCAGAGCTTCAGGTTAGACCCCTTCCCTCTTTGAAATCCTAATCCTCGCCTGTTCAATGGACACTTCGTGAATTTAAATGTGGCATTGTTTGGAACTTAATAGGGGACTAATAATCACCTAGAACTGTTGGAGAAGATGAATGTGAGGGTAGCAGAAGAGTACAAAGGGTTTGGTGATTTGGCTTCAGGGTTGAGAGTATTTGTGGAGCAGTTGAAATGCAAGAGTGGTAGCTTTAATGAGTATGTTGAGCAGATTGATAACATTGAGAAGCAGGTGACTGAGTTTGAAGCTGTGATCTCTATGCTTGAAAGATATGTGGCTTTATTGGAATCGAGAGTGCAATCTGAGTACCAAACCAAAATCCATCTTCCTAATCAACAATAATGTACAAATTTTACTTTTCATGATGAACATTTGCCTTGTTTCCTACTTAGTGAATGAATTCCTAGATTTACAAACTTTATTGATCTATATATTTATGAAGCATTTAATAAAAAGGATGGAAACTGGAAAATACACATTAAATCACTTGTCTGATCTTTGGTGACTTCTTATAATTAGGGGTATTTATGGGTATGGTTAACCATGAAACCGACAAAAATTGACTCAATTACTAATAGTGTGTTTGAAAATCCATTTGGAACTTCGTAAACTTAAAATCCCATTTTTTGAAGCTGCCAACGTAGAAGGAATGGATGAGGTGGATGGACATTTCATTCACCAAACAGAATACCAAAAATGCACTGGATATTTTGGTCAAATTCAACCTAACCATTTTAGACACATTCATGGATGGGTTTTGATTTAGAACTTGTGAACCCGATCCGTGTATGTCATATTATTAAATTTATTTCATACATATATATAATATAATATTTATGTTAAATTAAAAAGTAGAAAAGGGCCTTAGACCACTTCTTTCATAGATGATAAATTATTTATTCTTATAGTTTTTGCAATGTTTCTCAATCAGTATTATGGTTTCCTCATGTGAGCATTTTTTTTATCATAATCAGTTAGATTATACATGCTAATTTAGTTATTATTATTATTATTATTTATTTATTTATTTTTTTTATAATGTTTTTCCAAACATGATTGCATTAGCTATCATGTATATTTAAGATGCTTCTAATTGAGGAATATTAGATTCCAACCTGGTTTGAAATCAAACATGGCAAACTTGTGCGTACTTTCTCCAAATATTGTTCCTGAGATAAGAACAACTCCCTTTGCTGCCTTTCTCTAAAAATATCCACTCCAAGGATCTTCTGAGCCTTCCCAAGGTCTTTTTTTTTTCAATCTCCTTACTAAGGTGAACTTTAACCTCGTTTATCACCTCAATGTCTTGGTTGACAATTAACATATCATCACTGTACAACAAGTAAAGGTACGTATTACCAACCAATGTTTTAAAATAGACACAACTATCGTAATTGCAACTAGTGAAACCACCCTTGTGAAAAAAATCACCAAACCTCTTATTCCATTACCTTGATTGTTGCAGTCCATATAAAGACTTTCTTAACAGACACACTTTTTCTTCTTGCCCTTCCTAAACAAAGCCGTGTGTTGTTTCATGAGTATCTGTTTCTCAAGGTTTTCTCGGAGGAATGTTGTTTTAACATCCATCTATTTCAGCTCAAGATCTTCTTAGAATAGTGGATTAAAACCTAATTCAACCCTACAAAACCGGCTTGTAAGGTGAGAGATATTTTCCACTTATATACTATTTAATTGCCTAATCTCTAGTCGTTGTGGGACTTAGGCCTTTCCCAATATACCCCCTCACGTCCAATACTATTGGGCTTGGTACGTTGATAAATGGTAGGTGGCCCTTTTGCGGGACTTGAATACACCCCTTCATACCCATAGTGCATATATCAATGAATGGTGGGTGGTTCATTTTTAAGAATCTAGGATGCTCTAATACCATATTAGAATAGTGGATTAAAGCCTAACTCAACCCTACAAAACCGGCTTGTAAGGTGAGTAGTGTTTTCTACTTATATATTATTTAATTGTCTAATCTCTAGTCGATGTGAGACTTGGGTCTTTCCCAATAGATCTTGTTGTGCAACAATAAATAATATCAAAATCTTGTTGATGATAATCAACTCATTACCAATTAGAATTTAAATTCAATCACATGTAGTAATGAAAACATTTGAACCAAGGCGTCCGCTTGGTTTACTAAAAAGATAGCAAGGCAAGCAATATGCAGCATCTTTTGAAGGCGAATACTCTAACCATGAAGGAAATATGCTAAACCAAGTGTATTGAAATCTCCTTGGATGATCTTCTTTACCAGACAAAGGATAATTTTCTAAATGCATTTGATATGGACCCCATTTTAGATAAGCCCTTCGTACCTCATCCGTTTGATTTGATGGGTATTGCCAAATTTGAGGGCGTTTCCCCGGATCACGTTCCAAAGAATTTTCAAATTCATTATATGTAACTCTAGGAACCTTTGAGAGTTGTTTATCATTTTCTTCAATTCTTGGATTCTTGGGAAACTTCTCAAGTTCACTTGACGTAGAAGTTGCATTTTTTTCATCTTTATCACAAGTCTTCCTCTTGAAAAAAGAATCAATTCTTTTACTCTTTATCATAATTTTTATAATATATATTTATCACCTTTCACCTATATAAAAAAGGAAAAAATTATCTTCACAATTATCACAGTGCAAAACATACAAAAACTCATACCAATATACTACTATAATTAAATACAACACTATATATTCCTCAAGCTAGCTATGAAAAACTTTGAGCAAATTCAATTTTCTAAAATTCTTAATAAGCACATGAACAAACTACTAGTTTACTTCAACCAAAATTTTCAACATTTTCAACAAGTAATTCATATAAGTAGGCAAAATTACTAGTTTACTTAACAGAGGAATGAAATTAATATTCTAATCGATTTGATAATCAATACAATTTTTAAAACTATGAATCAAGCGATTGTTCATCATTCATATTTACCAAAACTGCAAAGGAGAGAATCAGGGGAAGCTCCACACGGTTTTCTTAAGCGTATCGGAAGGGCGAGCTGGTTGAGCTGGTTGAGTTGTATTTGGCATGGAGGAAGCTGGCGCTGCGCCTGGCTCACTGGTTGAGCTTATCCTATTGATTGGGTACCGGAATCGGAGATGGAGAAGCAGTCAGGCAACTAGCAGAAGCAGGTTCTACTGTTCGAGAAAGACGAATGAAATGGAGCAGGTGAATCGGTCTCGGTGACGAGAAGCTTATTTGAGAAGCTGGAAAGTTTTTTATTTTTATTATAATTAATAATATAATAATATATAAATATAATATTAAAATATATATAAATATATAAAAGTTTTGGGGAGCCGTGGCTCCCCTGTCCCTTCAAAGTTCCGCCTCAAACAACACATAATCATTAATAAAATATAATAATTAATCAAGACTTGCAATGTTACAAAAGTAACAATTTGTTATGGTTTTACTAATTTTACATATCTAATTACAATTTTTTTCACTTTAAGGACTTAATTGAAAATTCTCAAAAAGTGCAGAGGCTTAATGATGTATTAAAATTATTATTTAATTATATTCATATTAAAGATTAATTTTATTATTGTAATTTTTATGGATAAAAAAATAATATGTAAATAATAAAGGATAAAAATGAATGATATATTAAAAGATATAAATAGTTTATAAATATATTAATTTTATTTATTTAAATATTATCCATACAAGATCTATATGTATTTTTTACCATGTTATTGATACAGAGTATCTATTGACTTGATCGATGACCAATCTCTGTCGAAGAACCTAACTAGCTACCTTTAGTAGGTTCACCCCACACAACTAGAGATGGCAAATATACTCGTACCCGCGGGTAATACCCGAACCCGTCCCGACTTTGACGGGAAATACCCGGTTTGACCGGGTACGGGTAAAACCTGATATATTAAATCGGGTACGGGTACGGGTATGTACTTACCTGCCCCGTACCCGTACCCGTCCCCGTCCCCGTTCCTATTTTTAATTTAGTACCCACTTTTAATTTAATTATATTAATGAATTTTAGTATTTTTTTATATGTGATTATTTATTATAATATAAGATAGAGAAATAACCTAATTATAATTATAATATAATTAAAAAAGTAATTTAAAAATATTATATTTGAAAAAAATAAAAAATAAAAAATTGACAGGTACGGGTACGGGTACGGGTATACCCGATACCCGACGAGGATGGGGATGGGGTTGAAAATTACATACCCGACGGGTACGGGTACGGGGACGAGGATGAGTTTGGCTCGTGAGGACGGGGACGGGTATCATGAAACCCGTACCCGCCCCGCCCCGTTGCCATCCCTACTCTCAACCATGTTTTTTTTTTCTTACACGGATCAAATTTGAGACCTTCCTTAAAAAGATCAAGTTCAATATCATTCAAACAAAAGACTTGTTCGTAATAAAAGATCTATATCTATATTATTAATAAAGGGGATTACAACATTTGATTTCCATATGTTTTTAGACAATTTTGTCCTTAAAATTACTTCTCAAATTACTTTTTTCTTTTTTAACTTTTTTTTCTTTTCCAAAAACTATCATTATAACTATAACTACTCAAAAATTGTTCATACATTTTTGTTATTAACTGCTCACTTTTATTTTATTTTTGAAAAATACATTGAGGCATGGAATGTTTTCAATACACTAGTAAATAATAAGATCTTTTTTTGGTGTACATATTTTTTGACCATTTTGTCCTTATAACTATCTATATAATTTTTTTATTTCATTTTTTATTTGACTGTTAACATCTTATATATGCATTATTTTAACTAACTATTCACTACATTTTTATTTTATTTTAAAATAGAGAGACACAAAATATTTTTTCTTTCTCTACTAATTATAAATTGCAACACCATATTTTATTAATTATGTATATATATTGGCAATATTTATAATTAAGAGTGATGTTTTATGTTGTTTTTAGTCTAGGTGGATTAGGTGTTAGATTTAAGATGATCCTAGGCTTAAGTTATAGAAGATATAACTTAAGTGTGTGAGAGTTGGCTCAATGAGGGTTGAGGTATATAAAATAAATTATGAGAAATAAACTTCATTAGTTCATAACTCTAGAATCTTATAATGGAGATAGAGATAAGTGTTTTAGAGTCAACGAAGTCCGATCTTTGATCCAATTTCCCCAAAAGATCTTTTTTCTTCCCTTGATCAATAATTTGAGTTATAAAAGTTGAAATTCAAGCTGAGAAACTAAGAATCTTGAAGGGAAGTCAATATATAGAGGATTTTTTCATTTCTCCATTTTCTTCCTTTTTTTTCCTTGGTTTCTAAAGCAATTGAGGTAAGGGAAGCAATTCTTTTTATGTTGCATGTGTTGATTTCTATGTTTTCTTGCCCATTGGTGGCATTCATGTCAAAAATGGATGAATCTGAGTTCTATGTTTTTGGGGTTTTCAAAGGTTAAAGATAGGTTGATGATTTTCAGTTTGTTAGCTGTTGCATG